AAAATAAATATAATATTTTTCTATTGTATTTATGGAATACCTCTACCTCTTCTTTTCTTTTTTCTTTTTTATTTTTTGCAACTATCGATATAATTGTATATTATATTATAATACCTATCGCAAAATTTCTTCAGCTTTAATAAATGGCCTGGCATATTACACGAACAATGTTTATAATGCCAAAATAAAATGCGCTACATCTCCAGCCATAAAAAAAAAAAAAAAAAAAAAAATACTGAATCGAGTCGGCCGAGTGAATATGGGTCTGCCTACAGGCAGCGCTTGAAGTATGCACACAGTTCCAGTAAGTGTTTACCTTCATTTGCGTGCAGGCAGCATAAAGTGAACTCAAGTGAAGCTTGTGGCAATGGAATGTTGCGGTGGCCAGCATAGCTGCCTCGATCCACCCCCCGGATGAGGCATACATTTTGGCATATGTCCAATGCGCGAACTGAAACCGGACTGACTACAAATGTGGTTGAAATGTACGCGAAAAGCGGCAAACCGCAAAAGTAGCTGAACAAACACAAATGTGCGACGCCAAATCGTTGGTAACTAACATATATACTTATATGTATATACATATGAAAAAAAGAGAAGCCCAGGCATACATACAAGGGTGGAAAGGTGATGGATATATGCATATGTGTGTGGGGTCTGTGTGAGTGTGTGTGTGTGGGTGGGTGTGCAGAGTTGCCCCACCCTTGCCATGTTTTAAAATCTCTGTATTGGTATGAGTGGAGCAACAAATGCAAACACAAATACAAATATAAACACAGATGCTAACTAACCACAGCAATCGGCCATGTGTGCGTGTATGTATATACACTCACAGTGTCCAACACAAACGGACACACACGCACACACACACACAAAGCGGGATTACCACGTTGGCGAATTTTGATGTATTTTCAACGGAAATAATGTTACACTGGCACTTGTACCTCTTTAGAGCAACACCCGCAAGACACACCGTGCTGCCAGCACCAACAACAACAATAACAACAACAACAGCAATAACAGCAGCAGCAACAACAACAATAAATGAAACGACTATCAGCGTCCATTGTTGGTTCGAGTGCCTGCATGCATGGCTCCAACTACATTCAGTGCATCATCCAAAACAACAATAGCACTGATAAAAAGGATAAAAGCGTAAGTGGGCAGAAGTCCTGACTCGAATTGCTGTACATTTTTCATATGAACACTCGACTGTAAAATGCATTGCCTCTTGAATGAAATCAACAACAACTCAAACACACATCTCCTGCCAACAACAACAACAACAACAGCTCGAACAACAATAAGCGGAAGTGCTCCGAAAATATATTCAAGGCGCAGCCACAGGCACAGCCCCAGCTCTGACCATTGCTATCGACATAGCCCCAAGATAAGATTTGCCATTCAGTTTTCAGCATGCACACACCGTCTACGGTCTGCCATGCAACAGGCTTACACTTGTGGTAAATACTGCTGAGCATTGAATAGAGGACATAAGGATGCGAAATTAGGCTCGCCCACCTCACGTCGTCTTCATATTCAATTTTGCTCTTCATTTCTGAATAGAACAAGAGATCAAAGCTCCAGCTGCACAGCTGAGAGCCTCACAGCTCTTCAGCGACTAAGCTGATTATGATATTTATTCCCAGCATCGATTCTACATACATACATATGTATATGAAATGCAAAGCTCTCTCGAAAGCAGCATACAGGAATATGAGAGAGATTTAACTACCCCTAAGCCTAGTAAGGGTTTTGGTCAATAATAATCTAAAACTTAAATTTGCACAAGATTTTGA